AGAGGCTGAGGTGGGAGGATCACTTGAGCCTTGGAGTTTGAGACCCGTCTGGCCAAAAACAGTGAGACCCTATCTCTACAAAGTGAGAAATAAATTAGCAGGGGACAGTGGCATGCGATTGTAGTCCCAGCTACTCAGGAGGCTAAGGTGAGATGATCACTTAAGCCCAGGAGATTGAGGCTACAGTGAGCTATGCTCTGCACTCCAGCCTGGGCATCAGAGTGAGACCCTGTCTTTTTTATTAAAAAAAAAAAAAAAAAAAAAAGTCAATCAGTCTAACAGGCTGTAGGAAAAAAAAAGTTGGGAGTTGTTGGCTTACGCCTGTAATCCCAGCACTTTGGGAGGCCAAGGTGGGCAGATCACTTGAGGTCAGGAGTTTGAGACCAGCCTGGCCAACATGGCAAGAACTCTGTCTCTACTAAAAATACAAAAATTAGCTGGGCATGGTGGCGCACGCCTGTAATCCCAGCTAATCGGGAGGCTGAGGCAGGAGAATCACTTGAACCAGGAGACATAGGTTGCAGCTAGCTGAGATTGCACCATTACACTCCAGCGTAGGCAAGAGCAAGACTCTGTCTTTAAAAAAAAGGTGGGGGGCAGAAATTGGGAGTGATGCAGCTGCAAGCCAAGGATTGCCGGCAGCCACCAGAAGCCAGGAAGAGACAGATTCTTCCCTAGAAGATTCCAAAGGGAGCATGGCTCTGCTGACAACTTGATTTTGAACTTTTTGCCTCTGGAACTGTGAAAAAAAATTACTGTTGTTTTCAGGCACCAAGTTGTGGGTCATTTCTTATGACCTAGTAAACTAATACAAAGGTCTATTCATTGATTATCCTCAACCACTCTTGTAGTAGAAGAAAGATTTTGCAGTGCTTTAGCCTGCTGTGGTTCAAGGGTCATGAGTTGGGACAAGTATGCTGCAACACCACCATCCCGACAACTTCCAGGATGTGGAGTCCCTGGTTACTTCCCCAGGATCTCCAAGCGCTCTTGCCACAAAGCAATTTATGTGGGGTCAAGCTTCCGGCCTACAAATGGGGAAGGTCAGTGCATGACCCCATTGCTGATCAGGTTTTTCCTATTAAAAGGGATAGTAAATGCACAATAAATGGTAGGTAGTGTCAGCATTTAAAACACCAGTAGAAAGAAAAAGTCCTAAGCTAAGCTTGGTGCTTAGGACTTTTTCTAGATTGATTATCAATATAAAATTTTTTTCTTTTCATTCTTTTTTTTTTACAAAAATTTTTTATTGAATCTAAACCCATGGGCAAACCATCCTAAGACTACTTAATGATTAGTTTCTAGGCATAGATTTCAGTCTTATACTCATCCACCAGGACTCATCATAATCTGAGACTACTTTTGATATAACTCTAAAAGAGCAGGATTACACAATAAAGTTATGTTCATCTGATATACACTGGGGTTTAATATTCTTGCTCGTGCTCGGACATAGCTAAGTGTTAAATTGCTTAGAATTTGCGATTTCTGTATAAGGCATTAAATAATAGGTGTCAGGGATCAGTTAGGATGTGAACAAAATGTATTTATAATACTGTTTTTATTGTTGCAAACTCAACTTTCATTCTGAGTTAAGCCTGTAGATAAAGTCTTAAGTCTGCCAAACTAGTATTCCCCCCACTTCTTCTTTCCCCACTATCCAGACCATTCTAGAAAGTATGTCACTGTACCAAAAATGATTGAGTTGTATTGGGCCTGGAGAAAAAGTCGGGCAAAAGGAGCCTTTCTTGGGGTTGCTGATGGTTAGGCTCATCCACCACTGCACTTCGAGCTCTACTGGAATCGCCCTGGGGTTTCTGCAGAGGAGACAAAAGTTACAGAAACTGTGAAAACTATCTGTAGTGTGGTATGTAGTTAAAACCCTATCAACCCTGGCAGATACGGTACGTGCAGGCCAAGCAGCTCCAATCCCACGTCATAACTTAGCACTCAGTTTGTACTTTTGACAAAATACAGTATAAATCAAGATCACAGCACAAATCTTGCAGATTGCTGCCCATGAGGCTGGATAGTAAGCACATGGAGAGGCAATATGAAAGAAACATACCGTCTGTCTTTGTGGCCCCACAGTGCTCACATGTTCCACTTCGGCTGTGCCAATAGGTGGTAGCAGATTATTTCGACTCAGGGGCATTGGTGAGGGAGAGGAGAGCGAGTCAGCTGCCACCTGGCTACAGATCCCACCAACAAACATGAAGGTATGAAAGCGTGAAGTTACAACAATACCAGCAAATTGATTAGAAATCAGATAAATGAAGCAGATGAATTTAATGTGCACAGAAAGCTTTAGGCTGACTATGTTTTTAAGTAGAGATCTCAGGATTTTGGAAAATTAGAGTTTTTAAAATAGTGCTGATTTTGTTTTGAAGCTCTATACTGGGCACACAACAGAAGCTGGCCTTTTCTTTCCCACATAACTGGAATAAAACATTTGTCCCTATCTGGTATTGTACTTCTCTGCTGATTTGGATTTGTAAATTCCCAGCTGATGATGGAATTCTTGACAGTTCTGGACCTTCTGGTTATCCTTCTCCCTAATAGCTATAGTTCTCGGGTACAGTTCCTAAACCTTCATTTCCTTCAGTAGGATCTGGAGCAGCTTTCAGTATTCCTCATACTTAAGACACTAATTGAAACTGAGTGATACTTTCATGACCCAGAAGTAACAAAGCAACTTACTTTTCAACTTTGAAAAAAAATACTGTCAGATGGAATGAGAGATTAATTATACATCAAGACTACTCATCCCCAAATGAATGAATTTATAGCTCTGTTGGTATAGATATAGCTACATCCACATAATAATGCTTAACTTGGAAGCTGAATTGAAAACACTGTTGTGGCCTTATTATGTCATACCTTTGTTATATTTTTAGAAACAAATCATCCTAAGACAGTTTGTGACCAACAGCTAAAATAATTCTGTGTTTAAAATTGGCTCCTAGGTATTTGTTGCACGACGAGGCTCAGAATGTAAAGTGAATGAAGGGTGGGAAAAGGAAAGGGATTATTTTTAGTGTCACTTCCTAAGAAGTGCTAAGGGATATTTTTTCTGGTATATAAGCAGCTACTTATCTGAGGTTTATAACGGTTTCATTGTCAGTGGAATAAGCAGATCCCAGTGGTACAGAAAAACCTTAAAGGGGAATTAACTATTATTTTGGGGTGAAATTTCACTGAAGATGTTCCCACTACAAAAACATTTGATTAAATAATAGGTTCTTTATTCCTTTTGTAACCCCAATATAGTATTCTTGCCAACATTTTATTTTTACAAGTAGACATAGAAGTCTTTAGCTAGATCAACAGAAAGATTCAATATCTATTTCATTAAAATTTAACCCCAGCCGGGCGCGGTGGCTCACACCTGTAATCTGAGCACTTTGGGAGACTGAGGCAGGCAGATTGCTTGAGCCCAGGAGTTTGAAACCAGCCTGGGCAACATGACAAGAACCCTGTCTCTACTAAAAAAAACAAAAAATTAACCTGGCATGGTGGCACCCACCTGTGATCCCAGCTACTTGGGAGGCTGGGGTGGGAGAACCACTTGAGCCCAGGAAGTTGAGGCTGTAGTGAGCCGTGATCATGCCACTGTACCCCAGCCTGGGCAACAGGAGTGAGACTGTATCTAAAAAAAAAAGTAAAGTAAAATAAAATTTAATCCCATTAAAAAAATATGGGCAATCTATCATAAGACTACTTAATGATTAGTTTCTAGGCATAGATTTCGTTCTTACATTTAAATTAACACTGTATGTAAAATGCATTAGTTTTACCACAGTTTCCAGAAGTTCTGCTTTTGAAACCTACACTCGGGTTCCTCTGAGGATTTCTTCCACAGGTCTTGGTGTTCCAGCACATGAATGGCTGGTGCTGATCGGATGCAGGGTTCGTGGTGGTGGATTGCGTCTCCTGGCAGACTGCACTGTGTATGACAGAGATGATGTACTAAACTCCACAGCTCGATTTGGCCAATTTCGAGTTGAAAGGATGGTACTGGACCCAGGCCTCAGAAGTAGCTTGTCATCAAGATCTCTAGTAGCCAAATCAGAAACCCACAATGAAGTAAAGATCTCTACGTAGACAAAGACAAGACTCATGGGTTAAAGCCTTTGACTAGAAACTACACTTAGGGGAAAATAAAGCAAAAATAAAAACCTTTCAATAAGTAACCTAGTTTCCAGATGGTACTCTAGCTCAGGCATGAGAATCTGTTCTTAAAAGTAGGACATTATTTCAATCATAAACATAGTTTACTAGAATGGCCATTTGAGAAAGCAAGAATGTTATTCACCTGCCATCACAGTCACTTTCAGTCACCAGTGAAGGCAAGCCTGAAGGACACCTACTCCAAAGTGCCTCCCAAAAATTTGCCACAGGGGCTGATTCCTACTCTAAGGCATTCTTTTGTGCTGAAAGATTGTTACCTGAAAGACAAATATTGCTGCTTGGGAGTAGTTGTGGTGTCAGTGTGGCTCCCACTGTGGTGATTGAAGTGCTGAGCAAGATGGAGCTGGCAGGGATTTGGGTTTGGGTTCCTTGGAAAGCTGGGAGTGGGCAAAGGATCTTGTGCTGCCCAGAGCCAGAGCTGTGGGACCACAGTAACCCCATCTGCATAAATAACTGAAAGACAACCCTTTTCTTTAAGTCTTCCAATAAATAAAATACTGTACCTAAACAGTTCAGTAGCTTAAATACTACCCTACAGATTCAGGTGTATTTTGTGTTTTAAAGCAAATGAGAGGACATTTGACTATTTTAAGACATCTAAGGCTGGGCATGGTGGCTCACGCCTGCAATCCAAGCACTTTGGAGGCCAAGGCGGGCTGATCACCTGAGGTCAGGAGTTCAAGACCAGCCTGACCAACATGGTGAAACCCCGTCTTAAAAAAAAAAAAGACATCTAAGGGTATCTGAACAGTGAAATGGAAGGGAAGTGAAAGAATAAAGCAGCTAAGCTCTGCCATTTGCTCCTACAACTTTCAGCAAGTTCCTCAACCTTTCAGGCCACTTTGGTGTCCTCTAGTGCAAAATGGCCCCGTGCTTAGAGGACTTTGAAGGGATGCTGCCCGTCAAGGATAGGACTAAACTATTCTGGTCTTCCTGCCTCTCTAGCAATTCACTTACGCTTTTTTCTTTTTTTAAACACACCCTAACTGCTTTCTAATTACAAAAGTTTAGGCTTTAGCTGCCTTATGTTCACCTTTATTTTTTCTATGAATGTCTAGATTTGATCATGATCTCTAGCCAGGTGACTTTTAGGTCAGTTTCCAGATCTCATCTCTTCCACATTTCCAGTGAGATGGTCCATCTTTTCCACCAAAACAAGCTTCTGTCAAGCTTGAAATCTGAGATGAGTGATTCCTCTATTTCTATATAATTTCACTTACTTGACAATATCTCACAAAATAACTCATTCCTTTCTCACCCGGTATGGTCGCTTGAGTGCACACCCTTAACAGCTTGTGTGTGGACTCATGCACTGACCCCTTACCTTTAGTCCCTTCCACTCCATCCAATCCATGTTCCACTGCTGTGAAGTCGACCTTTCAAATTCCTGATTTAAATATATGCGCTGCCAAACCAAAACTCATACATTGCTGGAAGAAGTGTAAGATGGTACAACTCCTTTGGGAAACTGTATGGCAGTTTCCTATGAAACTAAACATATACCTGTCCTGTGACCCTTTTACTTCCAGGAGTCTATTCAAGAGAAATGAGACCGTAAAACCACAAAAAAGACATACAAGAATATTTATGGTACCTTTACATGTAATACCTCTAACCTGGAAACAATCCATGTGTTTAATTAACAGGAGAGCAGATAGATAAATCATGCGTATTCTTACAATTGAATACTCCTCAGCAAGACAACAGGTCATATGAAACAGTGTGGATGAATCACAAAACATGACACTCAAAACCCTCCACAATCTGGTCCTAACATAAGTTCCATAGTCACTTCTTTCTTGCTAATTACACCATGGCCTATTTTAATTCTAGAGGATTGCCAATTATCTTTGTTCAGAAACATTAAAGTTCTGACCCATCTTCCATCCTTTTATATCAAAAATGGTCTGCTATCTCTCCTAAATATTTTGTACTTTCCTATCTCCAAACCTTTCCCCATATCATTCCTTTTACCTAGAATGCCCCTGCTGCTCTCCTTTGCTTATCCAAAGCCCCATCTTTCAAGGACAACTTCCAAACCAACACTTACCCACCAGCATGTTTTGGGGCTGTCATAGCACTCATTCTGGACAGCACACACATGGCACTCAGTCACAAAAATGTCACATACAGTTAGGACTCTTTTTACCCAGGTATGTCTTCTCTTTCTAGTTACATTATTAGCCCCCTGAGGGTGGAGTATTTTTGTTTTTTGTGTTGTGGTTGCTTGGTCGGCACTTAATAAATGCATACTGATGAACTGATTTTCCTTTCCTCTATTTCCTTTTTACACTCTATAGTCTGAAAATGTTGAACTTCTTACAGGAGCTTGTCCATTAGGGAGAGGTTTCTTGGCTGTAGCGGCATCCCATGAACCAAGAGACCATTCATGTTTGGCTGATGACTGCTTGCTTGACAGAGACTCATCTACATGTCGAAAGAAGACAGTACTCATGATTGGTTGGAGAAGATACCTGTTTGGTTTCCCAACCTTGCCAAAAGTTAATATTTTCAATTTGGTTATTTATACTTTTTCCCTGTGCTTTAATTTTTATAATATCTCGGGGACCTTAGCTGGGGCCCCAAGTCAACTGTCCGTGTGATAGGGTCCCTCCTTTCCTCTCCATTCCTAAATGATAGCAGGTAGGGGAAGCCTGATCAATCTGGATGAACACAATTAACAGCCCTCTCATGGGGAGTGAGGACCTTTATTATTATTATTGTTTACGTTATAGTAGAAGAGAAAACTCAGACAAAATATGGAACAATAATAGAAAATAATAAGGGGAAACTCCAACTTGATCTCATTCATCATTACACAATCCTGCACTCTGTACAAACTAATCCTCTTTCACTACCTGTGGAGCAGGTCAGCTCTCGGTAACCTAAATCCTAAAGAGTCTGTACTATGAGGTAAGCTTATTTGTTCTAATTTTAGCAGGATGTAATGTTTCTTGGACTGGCACTGCCATCCTAGACCCCTTCTTGTTTTCTCAGATCATCAGCTCATTACCTTTTCTGGCCATCTCCATTGCCATAGAATGTATTTTCCTTCCTCTTTCTCTTCAGAATGTTTGAATTAACTCTTCTCTTTCCTTAGATCATGAAAGACCAGAACGTCTATTTATTCAGGGCTTAGGCTACTAAACCATGGCCACACCAGTTCAACATGCAGAAGTGCTTTATCACCACCAAAGGAACATTAATTTACCTGGTTCATCCCTGGTGTGATGACTCATGAGCCTTCCTAATTTTCTTTTCTTTTTTTTTTTTTTTTTTGAGACAGTCTCGCTCTGTCACCCAGGTTGGAATGTAGTGGTGTAATCTCAGCCCACTGCTACCTCTGCCTCTCAGGTTCAAGTGATTCTCCTGCCTCAGCCTCAGAGTAGCTGGGACTACAGGTGCCTGCCACCATGCCCAGCTAATTTTTGTATTTTTTAGTATAGATGGGATTTCACCATATTAACCAGGCTGGTCTTGAACTCCTGGCCTCAAGTGATCCACACACCTTGGCCTTATTTTCTTTTTAAATACCTGCTTTGTAAATCCAGCTGCACAGTATCTGGCCAGTATACCAACAAAGATCTGGTAGTAAAACCAGAAAAAACAAAAACTAGATCTGATAGTAAAATCCAGGGTTGGTAACTATCATATAGGAACTGGGACTACATAAATCATTACCCAGGGATAAGTCCAACCTCATCAGTCTCCTGCAGGAAATACCATCTTTGTGCTTGTTCAGACTCACTCGAAATAGTTTTTCTCTTTGCTTTTGTTTGATTTTTATATCTGTTTATGAGTACTAAACATCCAAAAGGCAAAAAAGTTAACAGATTTAAATATTAAAAAACAAAAACAGGCTGGGTGTGGTGGCTACTCAGGAGGCTGAGGTGGGAAGGTGGCTTGAGCCTAGGAGTTTGAGACCAGCTGGGCAACATAGTGAGACTCCTGTCTCTAAAAACCAAACAGGGACCAGGCATGGTGGCTCACGCCTATAATCCCAGCACTTTGGGATGCTGAGGCAGGTGGATCGTATGAGGCCAGGAGTTTGAGACTGGCCTGGCCAATATGGTGAATCCCTGTCTCTACTAAAAATACAGAAATCAGCTGAGGTACTTGGAAGGCTGAGGCACAAGAACTGCTTGAACCTGGGAGGCAGAGGTTGCAGTGAACTGAGATCACGCCACTGCACTCTAGCCTGGGTGACAGAGTGAGAGACTGTTTCAAAAAAATAAATAAAAAATAAACAGGTGGGCCAGGTTGAGAGAACAAGGAAGGAAAAAGCCAAAAGGAAGGAGGCATTCAAAGGATGATGTAAAGGCCATAGAGAATCTAAGATGAGTCCTTTTTATTATCCTCCATTCTTGCCAAAACAGACTTAGGCTGACCACATGGTTAATTCTTGATTGCACAACTTATGGATACCTCCTCAGAAGAGCTGACTGAGAAGTATTTATCAACTCTAATTTGCTATTAATATTTTAAACTGAAACTGACCAATGCAAAGAGTCACTGGATTATTATGATAAACACATAACTGTACTAAAAAAATACTAAGTCAGAAATCATACAAGTAAGGCAAACAACAGCAAATTTCCTCTGGTGAGAATAGCTCTGGGGTCTCCAACTGATCCTTCTGGGGCTTACCGGATTTGAGATAATGGACAGCACCTTAGACTGTGGCACTCGCGGTAACACCAAAGGGTGTGGTTCACTCAGCGCACAGGAACTTTCTGAATTGGGTCTGGTAACTGCAACATTACTCTCATCATCTGGGCAAAGGAATAGAATCTATTATCCATGGATAATCTTCTGGCCCATAGCAACAGTATTGTGAAAAAAATATCTCTCCTGAGAATTCATAGTCTTCACTTATTTTTGCAGTGCAATTTTATACCACCTGCATGATTCAAAAAAACCCCTCAAACCAAGACTAGTTGAAAGTGGTTTCCCAGGCTGATGATGCCTATTGGTACCTGGCGAAAGGAGAAAAATCTCTCTAGAGCAAAGTCGTCCCACACACCTTTGGAGTTGATGGAAATGTTTTATAACTGTGCTATTCAGTGTGGTAGCCACTACCCTCCTGTAGCTATACAGCACTTAGCATGTGGCTAGGGAGTGAGGAACTTAATTTTAACTGATGGCCAAACATGGCTGATCCCTGCTCTATTGGACCGTGTAGCTCTAGGGGAGCCTTCATTAATCCAGACCTCAATTTTGACAGGTAAAGCTCTGAGATTAGAAACTACTGTTAAGAATCACATCCAGAAAGAAACAAGGCATCTTGAAAAAGAGCAAGCAAAAACAACATAATCAGATCAACAAGGATTTCAGAAATTGGAATTGACAGATGTAGAATGTAAAACTAAAGCAGAAATAGAAAATATGACTAAGAGCAAGACACCATAAAAATGACCAAGCAGGCTGGGCATGGTGGCTTATATCTGTAATCCAAGAACTTTGAGAGGTGGAGGCAGATTGCTTGAGGCCAGTAGTTCAAGACCAGCCTGGGCAACATAAGGAGACCCCCATCTTTACAAAAAAAATTAAAATTAGCTAGGCATGGTGGCACATGCCCTTGGTCCCAGCTACTTGGGAGGCTGAAGTGGGAAGATAACTTCAGCCCAGGAGGTTGAGGCTGTAGTGAGCTGTGATGGCACCACTGTACCCCAGCCTGGACAACAGAGCGAAACCCTGTTTCAATAAATAAATAAAAATTAAAATTTTCTTCATAAATTTAGACTTTAAAACTGTCTTGATTAAAAGTTAAAATAATTACAAAAAGTTATAAATACATGATTACATTTCATCAGAGTTTTATATACTTTGAGGCTATAGTTCACAGACCATGTAGTCCTACTGCATATATTGCAAACCTGCATGTAGTTTGGCCTTCTTCTTCACACAGGTCGGAAAAGTTGCTCTAATAGTAGAGGTAGGTTTGTACCAGCAACTGTCAGTTTGTTCTAACAACAATGAACCAACTGGTCCATGACAAAGCCAAAACTGCAAGTGTTCTCTTTCTATACTTCCAGGTATTCCAATAAAAAGTAATGACAACAGCTCACATTTACTAAGCTCTTACATATTCCAGGAACTGCTCTATATACTTTGATGTAACTTATTTCTTAACCCTATGAAACAGGTATTAGTATTTATACTCATAGATAAACTGAGGCTCAAAGAAGTTAAGCAACTTGCCAAGGATGTAGATAAAGTTAGTGTCAGGGCCAGCAGTCAAACCCGGTTGTCTGGCAACGTAGTCTGTGCTTTAATCATTAAATAACATTGCTTCTAATGGGGATCGCATTTCAGAGCAGGGTTGGCAAACTATGGCCCATGGGCCAAATCTGGCCTGCTACTGAAAAAAATATATATATATTGTGGCAAAGTACCCGTGATTTACCATTTTGCCATTTTACACTCATGTCACTTAACAGCAGGGATACATTCTGAGAACTGCATCGTTAGGTAATTTTGTCATTGTGTGAATGTCTGAGTGTATTTACACAAGCCTGGGTGGTACAGCCTATTACACACCTAAGCTAAATATAGCTTGTTGCGCCTAGGCACAGGCCTGTACAGCATGTTACTGTACTGAAAACTGAAGGCAACTATAATTCAATGGTATTTATTTAAACAAGCCTAAACAGAAAAAGTACGATAAAATTATGGTACAAAAGATAAAAATTGTACACTTGCATAGGGTGCTTACCATGAATGGAGCTTGCAGGAATGAAAGTTGCTCTAAGTGAGTCACTGAGTGAGTGGTGAGTGAACGTGAAGGCCTGGGTCATTACTGTACGCTACTGTCTATAAATGCTGTATACTTAGGCTACACTACATTTTTTAAAAATTTCTTTTTCTTCAATAAATTACCCTTAGTTTATTTTACTTTTATAATCTGTAAATTTATTTTTTTAAATTTTTGATCCTTTTGAAATAACAGCTTAAGACACAAACACTGTACAACTGTATACAAATATTTTCTATTTCCTTATTCTGTGAGGTTTGCCCATTTTTAAATTAATTTTTACTGTTTAATCTTTTTTGTTAAAATCTAAGACACACACACACATATTAGCCTAGGCTTACTTGATGTAAACTTACTTTGTATTTTTTATTTATATATTACTCTTCAATAAAACCTTTTTTTTCCTTTTACTCCTGGCAAGCTGTGATTCAATAAAAAGTTTAAAAATGTGTTTGTTGGACTTCTCCTTCCAGCCAAGATGGAGTAACATGAACTGGGTTTACTCTCCTGCTTAAAACAACGAATAAACAAACAATGGCTTTCAAGACACTGTACATCAAATAATGGAGGT